TCTTTTGCAATCTCACAGCTCACCCGAGTGCTTGAGGCAGACTGAGCAGACAGGTTTCACCACAGCCCACCCAGGATTTATACCACACCTGGGCCCTGCAAGGTACGGAAAGAGCTAAGCCCACCGTACCTAGCTTTTACACACAGCCCTTTAACAAAATGCACAGGCAAAGCTGCATTAATTGAAGCCAGCTTCTGCAGTTTATAGACTAGACCTATGTATCACAAAGCAGCTCTTACCTGCAGCAGGGCCCTCCGCCTGACGCAGCAGGCAGCCCTGTCCAGGTGAGCTGCCCGCCCCTGTACAAGGCTTACCTGTCCAGGTGAGCTGCCTGCCCCTGTACAAGGCTTACCTGTCCATCGCTAGCTGCCAGCTGGTGAAGCAACCGGATAAAAGAAAACACAGGCAAAGGGAGCAGTGTATTTTCCTCCCTGGTCTGCAGCAGGTAGAGAGCATGCCATGCTCGTTTTGCCCAGGGAAATAAAAGGCAAAGCACAGGCACTGTTTCCTCCCCCTCGGTTGGGCCGCAGCAGCCAGCGGGCTCTTGCTGCTCCTGCAGCACTTTGATCTGCTCGGGCAGGAGAGCAGCTTCAGACACCTCTTCGCCCTCCACAATGTGTGTTCAACCCCCAGGCTCCTGGCAAAGGGCTGGCACTGTTTTCCCGCCCTCAGCGGCCCTGACTGGCGAGGCGCAGCGCAGCCACCAGTCGGGGACCGGGCAGCTCCCTCGGCCTGCGTTCCTTTCCCACCTCAGGTGCGTGCCGTGAGGGAAAGCGTCAGACGGAAACACAGCCACGGTGCTGGTACACTGCAAAAAGAAGTATATGTCCCAAAATAAATATTCTAAATGAGAAAGCCACTTTCTCTCACCTCAGTTGTTCAAACTTCGCCAGACCTCTACAGAAGTACTACGGCTCAACAACATTTTCATTTACTGCAGATAAAACATTTAAGCTCAAAAGCAGGTCACAGTATCCTTGGTGTTTGTCTGAAAAATACTTTAAATCCAAGTTTTCTGTCAGAAAAGTAAATCCAGCTAAAGATGAGCACAAGATGAAAAATACAGTGCCTTTAAAATATATCACCACATGAGCCCTGAGGACATCTAAATCAACGGTAGTACTGGTGATATGAAAAGCATTCAATAATTCAAGCACTCTGGGCCATGTGTCAGCCTTAACTACAGATGAAAGTTATCTTTCCTTTTTCTACTTGATCACTGGAGCAGGATTCCAGTTAAAATCTTATCTGATAAGTTTTCTTCTTTGTAAAACACGACGTAGGCCTCGAGTGACTACTGCACAACCAAGCAGTTCAGAAAATCAGGAGATTGATCAAAGGACGCATTGAGAGTGGTCTGGTGTCCACAACATGCCACCTGCGAGCCTCTGACACTGGCCACACTGTATTTATTCCCATCCTCAGGTGTAATATGAACTTTTGAAGACCAGGAGATGGACAGCTGGTAAAGTTTCAGTCTTCTCCACCCCTGGCCTCATCGAGTCAGCCATTTCACACAGCCCTGTGCTCCACACACCAGCAGTAGCTCTGAGAACAGCAGAGAGATCTCCAGAAACTCCCAGGCAATAAAAAAATGAACAGCAAAAGCAGCACCCACCCCTGCCGAGGGATCGCGCGTCACCTGCATGGCAGCCAGCTCCGGGGCACCATTTCTGCGCTATAAGGGAAACAGATCAACTGGCTCCCCTACGCCATGCCGCAAACACTGGGTTGCTTCTTCCATAAGGAAGCCTTCCTCCATAGGGGAAACTGTATCAGCTGATTTAAAATGCAGTAGGATATAAATATTTACCTGGTCAAGGTTCAGTTTGCCTTTCTTTTTTCTCTTTACTCACCTGTATGGTGTTGCACATCATCACACTGTTCTGGCATGCTTCCCAGTACTGTGAATGTTAGTTAAGGACCATCGGTGTTTTTAAACAATTTAAAGTTGAGCATCCCTCACCCAAACACCTCACTGAAGGAGAAACAAACATTTTTATTTGCCTGTAATGAAGCTTAAGACCACTTCCGCAAGTCTGCAAATAGCAGGTCAATGAAAGATGTATCTGAACTACTCCAAGATGCTCAGAATTTTCCTCATGAACATAAATTCAAAGTTCACAGTTCATTTAGTTGACAACATTCTACAAGGCTTGGATTTGGGGTTGTGGTGGTTGTGTTGTTTTGGTTTTTTTGCTGTATTTAAATAGGTGAAGTTTCAAATATTACTTCCTTTGTGCGTAGGCATGCTAAGTTTAGAGCTTTTGGTTTTTATTTTTCTCTAATTTCACATCAGTAAGGCTAACTTAAACCTAATTCTCTTGAAAAGTAAACATCACAGAAATGCCCCACTTGTATCCAAATGCAGGTATAAACTGGTTTTGTCCTGGTTAGCTCCCTTAAATTTCCTTTTCACATGTGAAGTCAGAGGCTCAAGCTGACTCCTAAACCAGCAACATTGCACCCCTTTTCACTTTCTTTTTACATAACTCATTTCTCTTCTTCACAGTGCAGGTACATAAAAATTCCACTCTTTATTCCCTCAGGACACTTAGTTGGGGTTGTGGTGGTTGTGTTGTTTGTTTTGGTTTTTTTGCTGTATTTAAATAGGTGAAGTTTCAAATATTACTTCCTTTGTGCGTAGGCATGCTAAGTTTAGAGCTTTTGGTTTTTATTTTTCTCTAATTTCACATCAGTAAGGCTAACTTAAACCTAATTCTCTTGAAAAGTAAACATCACAGAAATGCCCCACTTGTATCCAAATGCAGGTATAAACTGGTTTTGTCCTGGTTAGCTCCCTTAAATTTCCTTTTCACATGTGAAGTCAGAGGCTCAAGCTGACTCCTAAACCAGCAACATTGCACCCCTTTTCACTTTCTTTTTACATAACTCATTTCTCTTCTTCACAGTGCAGGTACATAAAAATTCCACTCTTTATTCCCTCAGGACACTTAGTTTTAGCACCTTCCCCACAACACAGAGGGATTAGGGTTTACATGCACAAGGTGTCAGCTCTTCACTGGTGGCCAGAGGCCACTGTGGGGCCAGCAGGACCTGATCAATCCCCATGTGTGCCAGAGCAGCACAGTAACTTCCCACTCCCCACCTTTGAAAAGAGATTTTTACACCATGAAAGGTAACTTTAGCAAAGTTCACTTCAAAACCTCAACCTCAAGTGTTAAAAAAAGAAAAAACCCTTAAATAATACAAGTTATTACATTTAATCTCTTCGGGGGAAGTGGGGAATGATTTTGTGATTAAGGACCTACTGTGGGGCTCAGGAGAATTAGTTCAATTCCAGGCTCTGAAACAAGCTTCCAGATTCCCCTGGGAAAGCCTGTGCAATCTCCTATCTCACATGGACACCAGCAGGGTAATTTGTAAGTGTGTGCAGCCCTCAGTCATTGTAGAATCAACAGCCAAACAAATGCATAGGTAGGAGTTAGGCGGGCTGCAATCATTTTGAGGACTAGTTAGCTATCCAAAGAGGCCACTACCATTAGACTAGCCCTTACCACAGAAGTCATACTTACGTTTTTAAAAACATATTAGAGGGAGTCTTGAAAAAATAGTTAAGTTATAATATAACTTATTCTTGGGCTGACAGCTGGTTCCTAATGGTTTTAGCTAATGCATTAAGTGAATGAAAAAAGCTGCAAGATAAAAATAAGTTGGCAGCCCTTGCAGAAAGATACCACTTAGTTCTCAAACACAGGACTATTTTCCACGGTTTGTGCACTGCAGGGGAATTTTGCTCCATTAAGATCTATAGCTGGTATCATTCCTTGGCAAAATTAAATTTATGAATTGATTTAATTCATAGAATGAATAAATTCAATAATGAAAACTCATCTGACAACATGAGTTACGATAGAACAAATCAAGCAAGCACTATCAGGAAAAATGTAATACTGAAGTCACTGTGTAACCTTCTAGACCGCAAAGTGCTCCAGTACATAATCCACAGTGAAAGCATCAGACAGCCTGTCTTGCAAAAAGAACAAAAAGGTTTCATTACTCTAATATACTGACTGTGTGCTTATCAGTTCTTTGCTACTCACTATCAGCAGAAATTTCCCCTACAATTATGAAGAACAGCTGTCATGCATACACCCATACCAGAAATAAAATAAAAACTACTTCCATTTTTGAAGACATGGCAATAATTTAGAAATCTGACTCCTTTCTGAAAAAGTACTGTGCCCATTATGATTGCAAGTAACACCTAGGATGTATTTAATGCATTACAGAAGTTACTTTCATTAACTTAGTGTGCTTCAAAGAGAAAATAGTTAAGATGTATATGAAAGTAATTGCCTCTTTCAGAAGGTAGAAAAATCCACATAAAGTTTCAAGATCAGCGTTTCTGGTGTTGTTTCTTCATGTTCAATCTATAACCAATAATTTAACCTTGATATTAACTATTTTTGCAGAGCATTACCATTTATTTTGCATGTATTAAATCCAAGTACACTTGAGATTTCAGTAGAATGGCTGTTAAAATATTTTTTAAATCTGGTATTTGATTGGCTTGTATGTATCTACATGGCAAGATGGTTCCTCACATTAATTTACTTGACTGCTTTTCTAACTACAGTTGTTTCAATATTTTCCTTAATTTTTCCACTGTTACAACTTCAAGTTATAATGGAAATGAAAGCAGTTGAAAATACAAAAAACCAATCCCAAGCAAATGCAATATTCAAGAGATCAATATAAAACTGTTTCAAAGCTGTCAGTTATTAGGTGAGCAAGTAACACCAGCAATTCTCATTGAGGCTAAAGTCAGTCCTTTCACCTTCATCTCTCTTCTGTATGGTAAAACACGAAAACAACTGGTGGACTTTCTATTAATTTAAATAAATTCCATCCATCCCATCCAACATGCACTGAAAGCCAGGTCTGACTGACCTGCCCATTCTAACCTGAATAGTCAGATGAAGTTGAATCACAAAGTGAAATTGGTGACAACTGTGTAAACCAGGTAACTTTATTTTGTGACTGTTTAGCAGCTTCTACTTTAAAATTACAAAAGGTACAACACTGACATTCACGAATATTTGTTTTAGTAGAAAAGCCTTGTTAAATTTTTCAGAAGTTCTCACAGGCTGGAGCATGACAGAAGGTGTGATGCATGTGTGGTTACAGGACTTCCAATATTGCCAGTGGTGTCAACAGCGTCTTCTTCGTTAAGCTTCCCATCGATGCTATACTGGTTTAACACAAATAGCTGTGACAAAATACAATAAATACTGTAAGGCAGAGTTGTAGTTTCTGTTTCAGGGCACCCTCCCCACATCTACTTATATCTAAAAATCAATTCCCTTCTTCCATCCATGAAAGGCTAATTGCCATCTCAATTTTCCATTTTACTACATTATCAAACCTAGTGATTTGCTGGAAGCTGTTGATTACCTCAAATAGGTAATTTAACTTCTCACTTCAATGCAAAATACAGTCCAATACCCTATTCCTTTTAAGTATCACACCTACCTGAATCAGGTTTCAGGTGAGGGCCCACTGCAAAGCTAACATACTCCTCCAGCTGATACTGTGCTGCAGAACACCATTAAAGTGAAAAGGTATGCCCTGTCCTAGTGTCTGGTGCAGAATCACGTACACCCAAGTTACCACTGATGGATGCATGTCTTGCAGATTCTTGTTCCTGTCCAGGCAATGTGTTTCAGTATGAATTGGCCACATGCCTCTTCCTTACATCTAACCTAAATCATCCCTCTTAGAAGTTACAGCAATTCTATCTACAGTGAACACAGAAAAATTTGCCTCTTTATAGCTGTGAAAGAATCAACCCATACCAAGAGGAAAAGCTTGGAAAAAACCCACGATTCCTCTAATAATCTTTTGTAGTTCTGATAACACCTTTCAGATAATGTCAGCTCACAGCTATCGCACAGATAACTCCATAGCACTGCGCGCCTAATAAGCAGTAAAAACATCCACTTCCCTTTTACAACTAAAGCAGCACATCAGTATTTTTATATATTATATGTTGTATATCTACCTATAAAACACAGGGATGGCCAATTACTCACACATTTAACCATCATGCTTGGTTATTACTGTAACTCCTACCAAGGAAGAAAAGCTTTACTCCTTAAAAAGGCTGAAAAATACACTCAAAGCAACAATCTGCTTCCCTTGCAAATCAAATCAGTGTGAAATGTCACTTGTTTGTTCCTCTCTAAACACTGGCTTTCTGCTGAGTACAAGCTTAAGCTAACTCTAAGCCCCTTCCCTCTTCTCCCTCCCCTTGTGGCCATGGCTGCTCCAAAACCTCTGCTGTAACACAACAGCCAACTTATTGACCAACACCAAGAAGCTCTCAAGTACAGAAAGCAGCTCTGGCAGGCACTGTAGCTAGATTACCAGAAACCATTACCTGCAAGAGATACCAGTCACCATGGGTCTAATCCTCTTAAATGAGTGGAGAAAATTGTTTTCAGTGTGTCATTTTCCTGCTACATGTCTACAAAACCAAAGGCAAAGCCCTACAGAAGAGTGAGCTAGCCTTCCTATGGGCCAGAAGGTTATTTCCCTCTCAAGGTCTGCAACCCTGCAAGCAGGGCACATGGCTGCTTAGTCATTAAATACTTAATTTAAGCTGATTGCAATCTATCTTTTTAAGTCTACTCAGTGAACTATGGGGATCCAGAAAGTTATTCCCCCCCCCCCCCCCCCCACCAGTTTAAAATGAGAACTTTAAACTAAAATAGTACTGTCAGACAATTAGTTATTTACAGTTTATCTTTCATTTGTTTCTCCAGTTGTCTTAGAAATCAGGCCTTCTTCTCTCCCAAGAAAAAAATATTTAAATTGTGAAGTATGCATTGTTTTTATTTTATATCTACAGTAACCTAATATTTTCCCTATCCATTTTAATTCTAAATACTGTACTTATAAGTTACATTATTGTATTTCTACTACTGTGAATAACATTTCATTTTGCTTGGATGACAACAGTAACAACCACATAGGTATCTACATGCTAACTACCCTGGTCATTATGAAAAAGCCAGAGAAACCCACTGCACTTGCATTCTTTAGAAAGCAGTATCTAATCATTTCAATATAGAAACAGTAACCCTCAGGCCAAGACAGGCTTGACAAAAGATGGCCCTTGTTTTAATTATTTAAATGACAAAGTTCTCCTGCTAGAATAGATGTATGGCTGTCAGCATCAGGAAGGTTTTAACTAGAAGTTATTTACAGTGATGAAACCAAACAGCTATATAGCTTTGTCTCTCACACATGGCATCAGCAAAAGGCCAGGTGTCCCTCCAGGCAGTGGTCATTTTGCAGGTTGATGTCAAGAATATCCCAGAAGTCCAAATCCTTTAGCAGGTGCTAAAAGAAGAGGTGGAAGATTGTCTTTTGCATTTGGCAGTCCTGTTTGGAAGTGGATTTTTTTTTTTTTTAATTGTTAAGCCACTTTTGTTCGCACAGGTCACTCTCTTAACTGTGAGAGTCTGAAAACACCAGGCTTAAGATAGTGACAGTTACCTATCTGAAAACAAGTGTAGAAACATATAGAAGCAAGCACTGCAGACAAAGCAGTGACGCCACACACCAACAGCTACAAATGCCTTCGCCTTTATTATTCATAGTGCCCTACTTTAAAAGATGTGCAACCACTGAGCTTAAGTATAACCTTTCTGGTGTATTTTTAAAAAGGCTGAAAAATACACTCAAAGCAACAATCTGCTTCCCTTGCAAATCAAATCAGTGTGAAATGTCACTTGTTTGTTCCTCTCTAAACACTGGCTTTCTGCTGAGTACAAGCTTAAGCTAACTCTAAGCCCCTTCCCTCTTCTCCCTCCCCTTGTGGCCATGGCTGCTCCAAAACCTCTGCTGTAACACAACAGCCAACTTATTGACCAACACCAAGAAGCTCTCAAGTACAGAAAGCAGCTCTGGCAGGCACTGTAGCTAGATTACCAGAAACCATTACCTGCAAGAGATACCAGTCACCATGGGTCTAATCCTCTTAAATGAGTGGAGAAAATTGTTTTCAGTGTGTCATTTTCCTGCTACATGTCTACAAAACCAAAGGCAAAGCCCTACAGAAGAGTGAGCTAGCCTTCCTATGGGCCAGAAGGTTATTTCCCTCTCAAGGTCTGCAACCCTGCAAGCAGGGCACATGGCTGCTTAGTCATTAAATACTTAATTTAAGCTGATTGCAATCTATCTTTTTAAGTCTACTCAGTGAACTATGGGGATCCAGAAAGTTATTCCCCCCCCGCCCCCCCCAAACAGTTTAAAATGAGAACTTTAAACTAAAATAGTACTGTCAGACAATTAGTTATTTACAGTTTATCTTTCATTTGTTTCTCCAGTTGTCTTAGAAATCAGGCCTTCTTCTCTCCCAAGAAAAAAATATTTAAATTGTGAAGTATGCATTGTTTTTATTTTATATCTACAGTAACCTAATATTTTCCCTATCCATTTTAATTCTAAATACTGTACTTATAAGTTACATTATTGTATTTCTACTACTGTGAATAACATTTCATTTTGCTTGGATGACAACAGTAACAACCACATAGGTATCTACATGCTAACTACCCTGGTCATTATGAAAAAGCCAGAGAAACCCACTGCACTTGCATTCTTTAGAAAGCAGTATCTAATCATTTCAATATAGAAACAGTAACCCTCAGGCCAAGACAGGCTTGACAAAAGATGGCCCTTGTTTTAATTATTTAAATGACAAAGTTCTCCTGCTAGAATAGATGTATGGCTGTCAGCATCAGGAAGGTTTTAACTAGAAGTTATTTACAGTGATGAAACCAAACAGCTATATAGCTTTGTCTCTCACACATGGCATCAGCAAAAGGCCAGGTGTCCCTCCAGGCAGTGGTCATTTTGCAGGTTGATGTCAAGAATATCCCAGAAGTCCAAATCCTTTAGCAGGTGCTAAAAGAAGAGGTGGAAGATTGTCTTTTGCATTTGGCAGTCCTGTTTGGAAGTGGATTTTTTTTTTTTTTAATTGTCAAGCCACTTTTGTTCGCACAGGTCACTCTCTTAACTGTGAGAGTCTGAAAACACCAGGCTTAAGATAGTGACAGTTACCTATCTGAAAACAAGTGTAGAAACATATAGAAGCAAGCACTGCAGACAAAGCAGTGACGCCACACACCAACAGCTACAAATGCCTTCGCCTTTATTATTCATAGTGCCCTACTTTAAAAGATGTGCAACCACTGAGCTTAAGTATAACCTTTCTGGTGTATTTAACAGAGCACACTGACCTGCAGTGTTACTTATCTTAGCATGAGCAGACTACAAAGTAAAACTCACCCCAATATTAATGTTAACCTGCACACACAAGTTAAAACACCAACTGACAAATGAAGTACAATTGGTATGGATTTTATTTCTGAGTGATTTTGTCACAACAAACATATTAGATGTCATCTGAGGCTAGCTCTAAGCAAGGATTTAATCCATGACCATAATGTAGGTCACTAGTTTTAGTACAGTTTGTGCCTAATTTTCATTCCAAGGAATCAGACTCAGCACTAACATTGATAGCTGTCAAGAGCATGCATGTGGTTCCTTTTTATATTACCATTTAATAAAAGAAAACAATCCAATTAAGCAGATGTTACAATTTTTACTGACTTCCCTATTTATGTCAATCATTAAAGCAGTATTTAATTTACAACAACACACCATACTCTAATCCTATGCATCAAGGAATATTCATGTTTAAAAACTGAACCGCCCTCACTGTTTCTGCTGCCCTTTTGGTTTTCAATGAGCTTCAGTAACTCAAAAGAATTGCAACCAACTTGGTAACTAAAAAAGAAAGCTTTGTAGAATGGGAAAAGTTCACAACAGGGGAGGAAAAAAGCCTTTCTAAAATAGCCAGGTGTTCACCTCAACTCATACCAACTTCAAACAGATGCAAGGACAGTAGTTGAATCAGTTTTCTGACTAAGGACATAAAAGATGAGCTTTATATTTTTATGCTTTTACAATGTTAGAATGAATTCATTTTTAGCTAAAGAATAGTATACTCCCCTACTCTCCTATTCTTCCACATAAAGTTTGCTCTGAAAATAGCATGGCTGACTTCCAGTCTTTCAACTATTATTTGATCACTGCCAAATATTTGCAAGTTCAGATTTTTCCACATCCCACCCATCTACTTGATTGTAGTTCATGTAGTATCTACTATGTTTTGTTCTACTTTTGAGTCAATGTACTGCAGCAAGTGAACAAGTCAGTCATGAAAACTGAATGAATTACTTTGAAATACAAAACTGAAAGTATCAAAGAAGAGCCCCCCCGGCAGTCTATCACCCAAATGAAGGTTTAACCTGAGGAAGGGGTACCTGGCCTAACAGAGGAATCCTCCTTGGCAGTGAAAGAAGTGGAGGTTTACTTAAGGTACGGCTGGCAACGCTTGAACATGGCCTTGCATCCTCATGACACATTCAACTTCAGTTGAAGAATCAGTTTGTTCAAAAAGGCTTAGTTTAAATGAACAAAAGTGGTAAGCAATTCTTCAAAAGACATTAAGAATGTGCAAGTAGAGGCTTGCAAGAATCTCACTATCCCCTTATCACAAGGGGATCCAAGAATTTTCCAGACGGTAGCTCCTAAGATTGAAATGGCATAGATATTCCAAGTCTATAATTTATATATGTGGCTGGGTGGGTTTTTTTCTCCCCCTTTTAAAGATCTTCTGCTGGATTTTAAACTTATTTTAATTAAGTTTATACACCATTACTGAATTTGGTTAAACTAAGAGTTGCATTCTGCATAATGGACTGATAGATATCACTAACTTAAATGCATTTACATGTACAGTGCTATTAAAACTTAAATACTCAACAGCATTAGCAAATGATCAAAAATACTCACTTTGCAACCATAACCTGTGAGTGCAATTGCCCACTAGGGGACTTTTGTGTATGTCCTTATAACACAAAGTTCTGTGAAGAACATATGCACCCTACATAAGGATGCACATGAAGACGCACACTGGCATTTCATATATGAAGTTTTGATCCCTAGTGCCTATCATTTATTTACAGATTATTTATATGGAATTTTATATGGAATGTACCCAATCTTATATCAGATTTAAAAGTTATATTTCAATAGGAAAAAAGTATTAATACCTTCCATCATTATCTTTTTTGGTTTTTGCATAGTCACTTACTGAGTTCAACTCCACACAAGCCAAGTATTTCCCTGCACTTAACAGAAACATGCCTAATGCCCAGAGGCACACTGTACGTCTCACAGCTCCCACACTAGGCAGTCATCTACCAGATCAGCTGCCATGTGTGAAACCCTGGTACACTCCTGTTGCTCACACTCAGCAAATATATTCCCAAAGTCTTTAACTGCAAGAGCCAGTACATCCTCCACAGGCATGTTATGATGCACTAACAGAGAAGATAGCCAGCTTTATCAAGCTTGTGTTTTCATCCACTTCACACATTTACAAAAAGATAGGAAAAAAAATATAGCTGTTTAGTCTGCACAATATAACAGATTTTTAAAGCCCTAAGTATTAACATAGCCCTACTGTAGCTGCAGAGGTTAGTTTTGATTTAGCACCAGTATATTAACTTAATTTGAAATATAAATTACAACTTTTAATTTCTCCTTTCCACTATCAAAACATTATTGGTCATTCATGATCTAAAGCTAAAACTGAGATAAGAGTCCCAATGTCATATGAAGACTTTCACAAATACCTACACCTGAAATAATAGGATTAGTACAGATTTTTCTCTTAATTTCATAGTATTTTCTACCTAACTGGAGAACAGGGCAGTTACTTTCCCTCCAGAAGAAACTGCCTTTTTACTATTGTGTTCTTGATACAATAAAAGAAGCAAAATTTGTACACTTACAATAAAAAGTTCTGAAACAAATACAGATAAAAACTTTAAGATGGATTTTGATTCATTTACATAGAAACAATGCAAGGAAGTAACATTTTAATTCACCAATTTCTACATAACTTCCTACCATTAATTATATGTGACAGTTTGTTGCTGCTTAAATGGCATAAAATGCATGCAACTGAGGACAGATATTGGATCACTCCATGTATTAGAAATTAATTCATTGAACTATTTCAAAGCTGTCTCATTTTAACTAGGTCAAATTCTGTTACCAAGGAGTGCAATAAATCAGCATTTAAGATTTTAATGGGTTGAAAGAAATTCAAACTGCAGTTCTGGATGGGTACTATTTTAAGTGACATGTCTCAAACAAGCTAAACTTTCTTTTGATAGAATAATGAAGCATGATTACAGTGCAAGAGGAAAGTGCTACATTGGGCTGTTCAAGAATACATAACCATTTTTAACTTTTTGGAGTGCATGTGTGAGATTTGATTTATGTAAGTTATTTTATTTCCACCACAAGGAACACCAAGTTCTTGTACTGATTGTCTATAACTCTGGCATATTCCCCTAATGAAAAAGTTTGTTATACACAAATAAAAGTCTGTCATTGTTTCCCATTGCTGTGCTGTTGTCACCATCTTGATACTTGTGGCTTCTGGCACATTCAAGTCCAGTGTTGAGGTATAAAAAACCCCACAAACCTGGTTCATTGATCAGATACACTTTCTACAATATCAGGAAGTAACTGTGATCTCTATTTTAAGCCACACAGAGAAAAATTTGAAGTTATTTGTTAAAGTGTAGTAGGAAGCTGTAATATACATAAAAGGAAGTTTTAGTTAGTGATTCCTGCTTGATCATGTTTTAGTGCTAGATTTGAGTGAAATGTACTAATTATTGAAATTAGTTGTATTTAGCATTTGATTCTCTCTCATTATCCTAGTATACCAGAAAATATCCAACTGAAAAGAATTACACTGGCATTAGTATAATTTTGTTAGTAGCCCTTTTTTTAAAAAATACTGAAGATAGATGGCATGAAAATTAAGAGTAGTAATCCATATGTTCTGAGGATAGATGCTAACATTTATCCTTTAAGAATTTTACTGATATCTGATTTTCATCTTTTATGACTTGGAAGATCATGTTTCTTACTGATAGCAATATGGAGAGATTAAAGTCATAAGCTATGTTTGCTTCACCAACAAAAAACTTGCTAACACTGATCCTGAAATTACCCATGGGACAGTAGACAGTCAAGGAAGAGCTATGGCTTATTTTTCATATACTGTAGTACACCTACTTTTTTTTAAACAGTTCTGAAAGTTTCATTTACATATTAAAGCAACATACTTGTGCTTAAAATAATTGAAAACAAATTGATTTGTCGGCTTCAATTATTTTTAATTGTTTCCAAAAATTAGAAGCCAATTTACAACCTGCTCTGGTTAGCCCACATGATCGTTGCAGTTCAGGCACATTAACCAACCCAGCTGCAGCAGCTGTAGTTCTTCCTATCTGGATTTCAAGTCTCTCTACTACTGACTAAACATTTCAATAGACCATGATAGTGGCAGAGAATTTCCAACTCATTTGAAAAGATTATGTACTACTACACTTCTCTGTAACACTCCATGAACTGAAAGAAATTGCCTCATGTATTCCCAATCATGTTTCAGTATCAGAAGGGGATATGTCAAATATGGAGGTCAGTGAGGAAAAAGGGAATTAAATATTGCATTTACAGCACCAGAATTGAGTACAAAAAAGGAACTGTCTCAGCTTAAAATAATTTTATTGATTCTGTTAGATGTGTTAAGGCAGAATATATGGTCTAGGTTTCCTGTAAGTTTCAAATGCATTAAATACATAGGAAAGTGATACCAATAACAAATTTGGTATAAAACACTTTACTACAGGGAAGAAGATAAATGGAAGTTAGAATATCAAAGCAGCAATAAGGAATTCGAAGGAGCTACAGTTGAGATGTGCAGTTCTCTAGATAGTTCTCTTACAAGAGTGAATTCTGTGTATTTGAATGGTTAGATCTCTGTATTCAAGTTGACCCAGCTTACCTCCAGAAGATGAGCAGCAATATAATGAAAGCTAACTCTTCTCCAGGATTCATTTGTCTTCCATTTAACAGAATGTTACTTTAAGAATTCATTTTTTCCAAATTGTTCTTCTAGTTCTGCTTCAAGTACTGACTAAGAACTAGAGACTAGACAAAATAAAGTTCTTTGCATTTGAAAGTCCTTTTTACACAGCCAACTTCCATTTTCCCCTCTGTTGGCAACTGTGAAAGGAATCTTTCACATTAGGAAGGTATCTGACATGCATCAAAACCTGCAAAGATTACTCAAGCAAAAATAGTATCTGAAACTACTTTTAGTATGTCTAGATTGAGACCATAAAACCCAACCAAATACTGCAAGGTGGCCTTTGAAACAGAAAAGAGGAATTATGACTGGATCAAGATCAGATGTAATTCTCAAGGCAATTTTCTAAGAACCTAGACAGGTCCTTCATGACTGTCATCCTGCAAAGCCTGGGAGATGCACAATAGATTTTAGGACTGGCTAGAAGTATTAAGGAGGTCCAGAAACATTAAATAGGCATGATCTTCAAACGTTATCTACACATTTGCAGGATCACATTTCTGAATTGGGTTACACTTACCTATGCAATTGCTGACTCTGTAACAGAATTAGCTGAAAAAAATAATAGAAACCTACTTTTGCTCCTTGCTGATGGCAACAATGACAGTCAGAAGGCATCTAATTTTTTCTGCATCTGCTGGTAAAACTGCAGGTATAGCTTCTCTCTACAATCATCCCTGGTGCAGTCACCTGCAACCAAGTGAAAAATCAATTAAGCAACAGCACAGACTGCAAAGCTGTAGAACATCACCAAGTCTTCATTACTTCACCATTTAACAATACTGTCAAAAATGATAAAAATAGTTCTTCGAAGCAAGGCTTTTTCTTCCCTTTACTTTTTCCCTGAGGAAATTTGTTAGACATGCAATATGACATAAGAAACATGGTTAAACTTGGCTGCAGACTCTTCAGAATTAATTTACTGAGAACAGCCCATTCATCTATTCCAGTCCACAGAGGATTATTTTTGTCCCATTCTCTCCTGAACTTTCTTCCATTTTGATGCTGGGACTCAAAACTCCAGGGGAAGGCAGTGAGAGACTAGGAAAAGCTACAAGGCTGCTTTTTGCTGTAGCCAGACACTAGGAGCTGAACTGGAACATTTTTCAGCTATGTTACAGAACACCTTTCCTAAATACTTTAAGAGCCATGTTGAAAAAATACCCACCCTGGACAGAAACCAACATAGGAGTCAGAAATGAGTTTGCTTGCCTGTCTCCAACATATACCTTCCAGTCTTTTTGAATCTGCAAAATATACATACCTCACAGTATACTTTGCACTCCTTAAGTAACTCAAGAGATTTTTGTGGGTAAGCATTCATTCTCCTCTTTAGCTGAGCGCAGCATGTTCACACCACTAATTCCCAACTGCAAACCACTTCCAGCTCCTTGTTTCCAGTCACATATCACATCTCACAGCCCCACCCCAAATAAATGGACACTCAGGAGCTCAAGTCCCAAGAAGTAAGCCTGGCAGTCACAGCCAGCTCTACAGCCTCAGAGCCAGATAAATCCACTGACTGCCAGAAAAGATGATACAGTAAACAAATCTTTCAGAATTTTGCTTTGGTGCAAGGTGGTAGTAATACAGACCATCTACTGACTATTACAATCCACACCTTCCACTTCTGCTCATTTCAATAACTGCCTGAATTTTTCACTGACCAAGGATCTACAGCATTTTATTGGCATGACCTTCTCAAAACAAATTAAGAGGCAAATAAACACCAGGAGAAACAACAATTGTCACATTCTGCTAAACATTTTTCTGGAATTAGTCTTCACAATCTTCCTAGCAGTCTAAAAGGAGGAATAAAGCAATGAATATAATTCCAGGTCTATAGCTCACTGACTTGCCTGTGCAAAAAAAACCCCAGGTAGTTAATCAAGCAATAGCCTTCTTGTACCTTCTTGGAAGAACCCACAGACTGAGCACAGGTAAATCCATAAGTGGTCCTGCAATTCAATCAGCAATTACTCCACACACAGATCTTCCCACATGCTACAACATTCACATCATTCGTTAACTTGTCCTAGTTATCATGGTATTAACAACTTCTTCAGATAGTGACAGAAAACACTTCCATAAATATTCTTTTCTACCCTGAAGTGAAGTACTGTGTATTTTTGCCATTGAGTTCTATCAGGCATTAAACTTTTCCTCATATTCCTACACTCAGCTTCTTTCTATTATCCCAATCCCCTTTTATTGGGCAGATTTCCTTATACAGCTAATGCAAATACAGGTCTCATTGTCAAAACCTTTTTTCCTTCCACCATGGGAATCTATGGTAAGCAACGTGTATTCTTAAAGCATCTGCCTTCCCTGAAGTTCCAGCATAATGGCCTGTGACAAACATCTACCTGGTCTGCTGGGAACTCAAGAAACCCCTGGTGATACACAAAAATGCTGCAGTAGAAAACCAGACCAGATATCTTTTTCACCTAATTCTAGTGTAGCCTGTAATGCAAGCTCCTCGGTAACTGGCTCCTGCCATACTCCCACATTTTATAAGTTTGTTGGACTGCACCCATATATTCAAATGCAACTCATGTTCTCAAGTGTGCTGCCATATCTGGACATACCTGCCAGCTTTCCCTGGGACGTGGTACTCTTTCCTCCTGGCCATGACAGGCCTTTTGCTGCACTAAGAATGAATCTTTCTCTATCAGCTTTTAGAGTACAAAGCAGAAACATGCTTATTCGGTGATCTACACCACAATTTCTGTGAGCGTCATTCAGCAGTTCAAGCCTCAACACGTATCCCAAATGCAAAGAGTGGCACCTTCTAAAGATAACCAGAGAATTAGGATTCTTCTATAATGATTTAAGGCTACCACCAGTAGACCTTGAAGGGACACTGAGGGATATTATGGACTTATCTGTCAACTGTAGACAAAAGTGCATGCTTTAAGAAGGAATGGGAACTAGTGGCAATTCTTACCTTTTTAGGAGTACTGCTGTATCACACCAATCTGTCCCTGTCGGATGCTCATATTGCTGCCCAAATAGCTCTTTGAAGCTAAGAAGAAAACATGTTTTAAATGCACTCGTCTCCAAGTTAAAAACAAAAGGCCAGTTCATACAAGACCTTTTTTCTTCCATGCTTACGGAGGGATTTAAGAAAATAAGACATATTTTTCAAAATACTAAGTGTAAGGAAATGCTGCTAATTCACCAGGACTGAACTGATGTAGAAGACTGTTCCCTGCAATTCATACAAGCTCATTTCACATTAGCAGCTAGTGCTTTTCTTGCTGTTCTACGTCTTCTGTTTCTCCCAGCATCTCTAGTTATCTCGCCCCAGAAGTTTTCCATATTTTATGGAGATATAAAGCATCCTTTCACTAAATATATACCAGGATAATAAAATGAGGTTTTTAAAATCTATTTTGTGATTTCCTAGAAGGGTAAAAGGCACATAAGCCTGGCACAATGTTTCAACCCTAGATTTTAAATATTTTAGCCTTCCTTAGAAGACTACCTTCTTCAGCACTGAAACTTCTCTTTTAGCTTACAAATTTAAGGACTTAATCAAAATTACAATATTTAAGACAACTGGCAAAATCATTAGCTGCACTTCAAGAAAACATATTTTGGCACGAGATTACTCCAACACACCACCTACAGACATCTGTGGACTAGCCAGTTAAATCGCTAAAGAGAACATATACTTTAGTCCTTTTGTTCTTGAAATTAAAGTATCCTATTTTGAAAGCCACTTTCATGCTTTAGACTGTAAGCACTTGCAAGATCTTTGGTAAACAGACAAGACAGAATGGGGGAAATAAAGCCTTATATTACATCCCTATTTTTTATATGCATGTATTTTTATCCCTATTCTACAGATTGGAAAATCAGCACTAACTGATGGTTATTTGTGATAATTATTTCTAATAGTAAAAAATGGACAGGTATTTCATATGGTTATTCTGATGTTTAAAGTTATATTTTGAGTAACAATTTAAGCCAAGAAAACACATTTAGAGATGTAAAAAAATACTTTAATATCACAGGTGAGAGATCAAGTTGCAAATGGAAGGCCAACCTGTTAAAGTTAGGCCAAATGCAAGTCAGTTGTGCCCAGTACAATGATATCCTGTCAAGCTGCACATCTCATTCTTTTAAGTAACTTATTCATTAAAAAGCCTCACTCACCTTCCTACAAGACTCACTATAACAAAGGTTCTTAAAGGACCACATCACCTAATCCCATTCCAACATTTTTCTAAACTGTATGAATTACAAAATAACATGAAAGTTACTCAACCGTAGCTTGAGCTGAGTTAGATGTTAAAACTCTTGAAAACTTTTCTTCAGGCTTATTTTGAGAAATATAAACTATGAAAAAAAAGTTAGAAAATAGTAATTTCCAGGCAATTTGATTATGTGTTCAGCATCTAAATAGATAGACTTCATTTTACTGGAGATTAAGTTTCCCTTACCACTAATAGAAAGAAAAAATAAAGGAAAAGGTAACTAATTACAAAATCCTCAAAAACTGCAGGATGACTCTAGAAAATATAGTATACCCACATATGCATTCTGAAAAAGAACAGGAGAAAAGCCCTGTTTGTTCTTGAAACAAAACGTAACAGGGGACAACAAACTTCAAAAAATAAGTACCCAGAATCAAGCCATATACCACAGAAGTTGTCAACTCAAATCATTACAAGAACATTCACTCTTTTTGCCACAGACAAACTCAGTAGCCAGGTACCCGTAACAGACAGTGCTTTGGAATTCAGTCTCATAGAGCAGAGTCTAGAATCTGGTAGGCTTTGAGGCATGAGAATTTTCTTAGATGTTTTATTTATATGACCAGATGTGCTGGTTTTGGCTGGGATAGAGTTAATTTTCTTCATAGTAGCTGGTATGGGGCTATGTTTTGGATTTGTGCTGGGAACAGTGTGGATAACACAGGGATGTTTTCATTACTGATAAGCAGTGCTTACACAGAGTCAAGGCCTTCTCTGCTCCTCACCGCACCAGCAAGGAGGCTGGGGGGGGGGCACAAGGAGCTGGGAGGGGGCACAGCCAGGACAGCTGACCAAAGGAATATCCCACCCCATATGAATAAGCAGTGCTTACACAGAGTCAAGGCCTTCTCTGCTCCTCACCGCACCAGCAAGGAGGCTGGGGGGGGGGCACAAGGAGCTGGGAGGGGGCACAGCCAGGACAGCTGACCAAAGGAATATCCCACCCCATATGACATCATGCTCAGCACAAAGCTGGGGAAAGAAAGAAGGGTGGGGGTATTTAGAGTGATGGCATTTGTCTTACCAAGTAACCATTACATGTGATGAAGCCCTGCTTTTCTGGGGACAGCTGACCACCCACCTGCCAATCAGAAGCAGGGAATGAATTTCTTATTTTGCTTTGCTTGTATGTGCAGCTTTTACTTTAACTGTCAACTGTCTTTATCCTAACCCACGAGTTTTCTCACTTTTACTCTTCTGATTCTCTCCCCCATCCCACTGCAGGGGAGTGATCAAGTAGCTGTGTGGGGCTTAGTTGCCAGCTGGGGTTAAACCACAACACCAGATGACTGTTAAAATGAATATATATTCCTGCTATAGCCATATAAATATTTTTCTGTTAAACACATAAGATGTTCAAAGCCTTAGAATAATCTCTATTTATGCTACTGAAAGTTTCTTACCTATTCAGATCTTCAAAGTCCTTTGAACAATCATCTTGGGAAGAATGACTTTTGACATGATTTACAAGGATTTATACTAAAAGATGTAAGAATATGAGGTTAGGTATACATTACCAGAAAAATCTTTTAAAAGCTAGAATAATCCAAAGTATTAAACAATGATAAAATAAGCACATTAACATGTTTTCATACTGTTTGTTTTTTAGAGTGTCATTATATCAAATAAGAGTGATGTACTATTTCTCCTCTACCACACTTTCATTAAGAAACTCTAGGGAGATTCGAAAAGGTCATGTTTCCTTGCTTGGGTTTGCCTAACCAACTGAACGCCTTATGATACACTATGCAGCGGCTCAGTCAGTTCCTCCTGACATTGTTTAAAGAAAGCCTGAAGAATTACATTGACATCACAACAGTCACTACAAAACTTTGCAACCAGTGTGACATTTTATGCCAAGATTTCTACTTACACAAGATCCTTCTAAAGCTTTTGCTTCATCCATTTCCCCTTGAGTAAAGAGGTAGAGAACAGTTTACAGTAGGAAGCTGGGATATGTTGCATTTTATTTATGCTAATTGCTGGACTTCCCAAAGATCATATGTTCTAAGACAAGAGACTTATAGAGGATCATGCAGAGGAAGATTATCTAATGCATGTATTAATGCAAACAAACATTATAGCCCTAGGGGCATTTGGTTTTTTTTTTTAAAGGTACCGATAACTTAACTGAGCACAAGTGATGGAAGACAAAGAATCCATTTAGCTTCTGTATTTTATCTAGAAACATGGCGTTTTCTCAAAAGATGATTAACCAAAGGTCTCAAGAGACATTCTCCCACTTCTCTGGTACAACTGCAATACTATAGCGAGAGGACCAAGAAAAGTTCACTTAACAGAGGGATTGTCATGTTATTTCAGAATATGCTCTTTTGGAAGCAGGTATGGAACACAGCAGTGTGAGAGAAAAAACATAACCAGATTTGTGTGCTTGTGGTTATTTTGTTTATTTTTAATAAGGAGCACTTATGCTTGGAAGGAATCCCCCGCAAAAGTAGTATCAAACTTTAAGAGTACAGGGCAAGCAGACAGCTGAACACAAACAACCCTCAAAGCACCCGTTGTGAATAGGATCAAGAACTGAACAAAAAATGCCCCAAACATGGTTGAAAACAAAAATGAACACAGCATATCCTGGCAAGCCAACAGGGTATATGGCTCATCATTTCAAAAGCCAAACTTCCTACTCTCATGTCTAGCACAAAGCAGACGGAGCAGAAGAGTTCAAGGCAAGTGAGAAGATGCCAACTTTCAGGAAGCTGCCAGCCACATGGATGTAGCCATAACAGTACTACAACCTGTCCTACTGTGCTCTGTACCCTTCTCAGGTGGTATTAACACCTTTGGGCTACAAAGCCCAGTGGTTACAGCTGCCAAGCAGGGAGGGAGATAGGGACATGCCTGTAGGGAATGACCAGGCAGATAGGAACAGTGGCCTTACCACCTCTCAAGGTCTGTCTGCCTACAGTGAGGATGACAGATTTCAGTTTTGGGCCCTCTACATTGTTAACAAGAGTTTGGCTCTCCTATGAACCTTTATTATCATGCAATATCTTTGCCATAAATCTAAGACTAAAGTAAGATATCTGTGTTCTAAAGATGTAACTTTCAACCTGAAAGTCAATAAAAGAAAACAACTTTGTCACTGATTATCATATTATGAAAGACATTTGAAGAACTAAGGTACCCTTGAAAACAAGGAAAAAGCAGATGAATACATCTCTTCCTTCTCAGCTTTTCAGAAAACCAAATATGAAGTGCAGGAGAACATGAGGAATAAGAAAAGGCTGGAAGATAGTACTTGGGAATTAAACAGGATGGACTAGGAACTGGAAGAGTCGAATACACACAATTCAAGACTGAACAAGCACCCTATCATAATACAAAAACATGACAAAGTAATGAACAAGTTGCTGAGGGAGCTTTGTTTAATTTGATATTATATGCTTACTATCCAAAGATTCAGTTTTTTCATATACTGCTTCATAGCAACATCTCAGTTACATATTATTCACTTCAGAATACACAGAGCCCGTCTGGATCTATGCCTGGGCTAAAAGTAAGAAAGTTCAGAGGTTAAATAATATTGAAGACAAACAGCAAAGAAAAGTCACCACAGATTAATAAAATACTGTGCTAATTAGAGCACAGAACTTGCATGGCATTCTTTTAGGCTAACCCAAATGTGATAAACTAACAAAAGGAACTAAGTTATCTTGGATACAAGAAGCCTGTCTTCCAAAGCACTATAAGGAATAAGAGGGAAAGTTTTACTACTCCTGTCCAAAGTACCTAAAAGTACATAAAAACCTTATTCCAGTTGCAGAAAAAAAGCAGAAGATGACAAATTAGCTTTACAGACTACTGAAATTCAAGCCATTTTCAGCATCTCAAGCCATAACTTCAGTGTGGCAGAACAAGTTTCAAACTACGATTTTAAGAAGTGAAAATTGATTTTCTATTACATATCAGGACATACACAAATTGTGTATTTCTACACTATGCATACATTGTGTAGAGATGATTCTGTGGATTTTGCTCAGATGGTCAACAAAAGGCTTTCTCTTTTCTGCTGAAGATGCTGCTATTTGACAAAGCTCATCTTCCACAATAAACTTTTAATGTTTTCTATAGGCCTGCTACAGAAAATGTAACAGGGAGAAAATGATTTCTGATCAGAACTTTTTTGTTGTCTAAACCAAGAAGAGTATGGGTCTTCTTACAAAAAAAACACAGTACTTCTGTGGATAAATAACATTGCTCAGGGAAAATGGGATGGAATGACAAAAAAAGGACAGTTCCTTGGTAAGATTTTAAGCTTCCAAAATCTACTTAGAAAAGGAATAAGGCATAAAACACTATCCTCATATCACTAAATATAAGTTAGGATAATACTTTTCAAACTTAGAAGGTAGTTACTACAATAAACACATTTATAGAAATACAGGATTAGCAAATTCAGAAAGACTGTTTTTTTTAACAGCCTTAAATATTAACACAGTGTCTCTGAAGTAACATGTTGCCTCAAGAGGGAGGGAATGTTTAGAAGGAAAATGAGCAGGAGAAGGCTGGAAATACAATCAAGCTAAGAAACAAGTGACCCATCCTAATTATCTCTGATAGCAGATGCTGCTAACAGATGCTCTCACATTATGCTCAAAGTACAGCTGTGAGAACTGGAAATAGATACCAAAGATGCTAAACTCAAAAAGATGCATCCCTTGCACCTCAAAGAGAGATACTCGAGATATCATTCTAGGCTGACAAAGCACATTTCTTCCAATCATCTCTGCATTATGAAGCCATCCAAATGTACACTAGGCCCTTTTGCTTAAGCTGTTAATTTTAAGGCTTCACGGGTGTTGGTATCAAGAATTATTAACAGAATCACTAACTCCAAGAAACAGTTTATTCAAGTCATAGTTGTAGCATGATGACAGTTACATTGCTTTGTCTCATTTACCTTAGCTAGTCTCCAGTCAACAGACTTTTACAGAAGAGAGTAAAAGCTACTTGGAATAAATCAGGGAAATACAAGCATTTTGAACTGCCTGAGAAGTTTTACATCACAATCAAGAAGGGAATTACAATTTAAGTAACTCAAGGGTTATTGCTCTTGGAATTTTTTTCCTGATGAAGGTTCAGCTCTTAAGCATCACAAATGATGAAAGTTTGAATAAAAATCAGCTTTAAGATATCTGTATCTTTTCAGAAGTAAACCTAACAAGCTAGAGCAAGATAAAGAGATCAGCAGGAGATCTGCATATCAACAAGCTCACAGAATTATAAATAGCCTAGTGCAAATTACAATTTTCTGATACTGTCAGGATGCTAGAAATCTCCAAGGGCTACACACAGCACTCTTTTTCAGAGTAGCATCTAACTTCTTGGGGCCTGATTTAAGATTCTACAAACTACAAGAGGCTAGTTATATCAAGGCAGAAAACATCTACCTCCCACGCTCCAGTCTTTTGATTCAGTGAAATATTCTAGTGCTAATACCTGCTATAGTCTCTATCAACAGTCAGAATAAACACCATTGAGGTGCTCAGCCTTTCCACATAGCTAGCAGAATTCCAACCACCACCAGTGGGAGCATTTCTGTTGGTTTTTTACACTGGCAAAGCTGGTGTAAACTTTCTAGGCAGAAGCATAAGCTGGACTCATGAACAGAAAATACTGTGCAGTCATCTACATTCAGTAAGCCATCAGCAAAGCAAAAATAACTTAAGACTCTCTAGAAGAGACAGTTTTTTGTGATTACACCTAAAACCAGCAAGACCAAGAAGACTACAAATCATGTTATCACAACTTTCTTAAAGGGAACTTGCAAAGTCCTTGTGCACAAATAACACCCTGCCCACACGCCACAGGAGAGAAGTGACACCACATCCCACCCCTGAGAACACTGCAGTTCTCAGAGGCTGCTTTCAGAGGACCACAAAACAAAACGTACTGGACCACAAAACAGCAGCGCAGCCTCCAATATCAGTTAGCTGAAAGCAGCTGGGGTACACGTACAGAGGCTTGGTCCCCGGAGAGCTCACTCGTCAAGCCACCCTGTAACTCGGAAAGCTTTCATTTGGGAACAGTAACAGTTCGGTTACCTCTGCATCCTAGCTGGGACAGCAGGGGAGAGCAGTGAGGGCCACGGGATCACGATGGATGATCTTTGTACGTCCAACGGGACTCTTACAACCTATAAAAAACCGATCGTGAAGCACTGCTTTTGGACACTCGCTCTTTCGGATGTTACCGTC